AAAAAGGTCTGGGTATCGCCTTTAGCAAAAACTACACACATGGGTTCATCATAATTCAGAATTGACGGAATGACTAGTGCTTTATATATTGATAGTCATCAATCATTTTGGGAATTCTCTTAGTTCTGTCAATCACTAGATCTTAATTCTGTAAATTATAGGGTACTTCAGACTCTTTTCAAATTATACATTTTTTACTTTTGTCCTTGCTTCTAACAGAAAATAAGAAATTACTTATAGAAAATAAATGGACAAAGGAAGACTTATTTTATATCTAGCAGTATAATAGCTACTGTATTTATTATGCACATAGCCTATTTCATTAAGGAGTAAGTTCTTGTTTATTACAAAGAAAGTAAAACTCAGTGTGCTCATATAACAGCCCCAAATCACAGAGCTATGTAATAATCTAGTAGAATCCCGATCACAAACCACATCTTAATCCAAAGCATAATCTTCAAGTACAACAAATTACTTTTTGATATACTATATCCTATTAAAACTAAAAAGAAAACCAATCTCTGATATTTTTCATGAACTCAGACAAATAAATAATGATTTAATATGTGTAAATAACAGTCACTTGGTATGTGACTAAGCATTTTTGTAAATAATATTTATCTGCCAAGATAAAAAGTTGCCTTTTATCATTAATATTTGTGTTCATCGTATCAGTAGAACAAAATCAAGACTATTTCTTAAAATAGAGTTTGGAAAGGTCTTATACTTCTAGTAATTCACCTGTTAGTTTCCTTACTTAGGATTGTTCTAATAGTTGTTATGTATCAAATCTATGACTGTAAAATTTATTCCAACTCCTAGCTACTTTATTTGACAGAGAAGAACCGGCTTATAATGTTTCCAAAGCTATAAATCATTGTGGAGGCAGCCTGTCACAGTTTTCTTCTGTGGACCAAATGATAGGTTCGAACCATCAAATTTTTCCTTACTAAACAAGCATTTTAACCACTGCATCCAAGGACTGACTTCATCATAGACACAGAGTTCTGAAAAATGGAAGGGCACTTTTATCAACAATAATCTGCTCTTTTCTCATTTACCAAAGTAACAAATGCATAGAGCAATAATTTAGCAAAGTATGAAGAGGGAATTTATAGTAAGCACAATTTTTATTCTCAAGAAGCACTGTGAAAGAGAGAATAAAAACTAAACGGCTCTGAGCCTTTTGTGTTACCATGGGATTTGTCGCAATTTTCAATTTTGTGCCTTAATAACATCACACAATGTGAGGTATGTCAACATTTCCAGATTTAGAAAGAAAATCTCTCCAAATATTTTATTTTAGTAATTTCTCTAATAAGATCATTTTGTAAGATCTATTAATAAAGAAATAATAAACCTATAATAGCATTAAAAGATGGTATAAACCTGTATGGTAAAAAAACCTTAAAACAAATTTATGGGCATTCTGCATATTTAATAGTCTATACTGTGTGGGTATATAATATTTTGACCTATAAGAGTCTAATGCAAGTGAAGTAAATTACAGTAAAATCATGATTTCAGAAGTTGCACTTAATTAAATGAAAACTTATATAAAAGATTATACATATGAATTATATTGTCTGGCTACAAACTGTTGAAATTTACATACTGCCAGGTGATTATCCTTTGATTTTTCAATGAAACAATTTTTAGGTGATTTAATATGGCAGTATGGAAAATATATTGAAATTTTTGTAGTGAAATTAAAAGGAATTTAGAGTAAAGATTTTCAATTTAAGTCTGCTTTACAAAGTTATTCTAGAGGATGAACAAATGTATTAAAAAATATTTGTCATACAAAATTAATTTTAAACAGAATGCAGATTGAAAATTGGTAATATAGAAATAGGTAAATTAAATAAAGAAATGTTGGTGGACATTTGTTAAGTTTGGGAGACGCCAGGCAATGTAAGAAATGATAAAATAATAATAATTTATAAATTAACAAGTGTTCATGAGGGAGGGAGAACAGGGAAGGAGGGGGAAAAAATGAGAAGCTGATACCAAGGGCTCAAGTAGAAAGCAATGTTTTGAGAATGATGATGGCAACAAATGTACAAATGTGCTTGACACAATGGCTGTATGTATGGATTGTGATAAGAGTTGTACAAGCTCCCAATAAAATGATTTTTAAAAACATACAACTTTTGTTTTTCTTTGTCTACCTTTAGAATTTTT